CATATGTTGATTTACTCCGTATGTTGATTTATATGTTATGTAACATGTAGTACACACGTGCTCTACATCCGGGCGCGGAGACCCGAATAAACATGGCGAACTCACTGACGGTGTTTGTGTTGAGCTCTGAAGATTAATGCTAATCAGACATTAATACATATATGGTAGTCGATGTTATTTATTTTGCTCATAAGTGTGTCTTGTCACTACCCTTATCCTCGCTTTGAGGACGTANACTACGAAACCCTCGCCAAAAGGTTCATTACTTCGCAGACTTGAGTGAAAATGGACTTATCAGGAATACCGACTCCCAATTAAAGTTGACTGGGAAGCATCAAACCTACCAGAGCAGTGGCGAAAATTTCAAAGCCACGTGCGATTGATCTTTGACGGGCCCCTCGCTGACAAAGCAGAGGAAATTAAAGTAAACTACCTTCTCCTGTGGATCGGAGATAAGGGACGTGAAATTAGAAACACTTGGACTGACCTAGATACGGAAGAAAATGCAGAAGCACGTAAAAAACTGCAAACTCTCTACGATCGCTACCAAGCGTATGTGCAACCGAAGTTAAATCCAATTTTTGCACGGTACAAATTCAATAATGAAGTCCAGGGCGCAGGAACGATAGAACAGTTCGTGACAAAACTGAGAGTTCTAGCTCGAGACTGTGCGTATGCAAGCTGCGACGAGATGATTCGTGATAGAATCGTGTTTGGCACCTCATCTGACAAGGTGCGTGAAAAACTAATAAACGAAGGAGAAAAACTTACCCTGGACAAAGCGATCCAAGTAGCGCAGTCGTACGAATATTCACAGCAACAATTAAAAAGCATGACACAGCAAGAAGTACACAGTGTGAAAAGAGGTGCTCCGAGCGGGCATCAACGTCGAACCAACGAACACCGGGCGGGCAGGCATTCCAATGGGCACAAACCAAGCTATCCTGGGAGCAGACAGCAAGCACATGGACACATGAACGGTGACATGAAGAGACATTCTAGTGGCAGTGCGCAGAAATCAGGACAATCTGAGTGCGGACGATGCGGGTTCCAACACAATAAACTTGCAATATGTCCAGCAAAAGGCAAACAATGCCAGTCATGTAACAAATACAATCATTTCTCAAAAAAATGTTTCTTTAAGGGTGCTAAGGTTCATGATGTGGAAGCTCTGCCAGATAGTTCAGATTCAAATGATGAATTTTTCATTGATTCTATTAAAACTCCCAGTAATGCTAACCAAGCTTTCTATACCCTTCATGTAGGACCCAAAAAAGTCCCTGTTAGGTTTAAACTTGATACAGGCTCACAAGCCAACATTTTGCCTAACTCTTTGTTTGAAACTTTAGGGAACCAGGGTAAACTCCAACCTTCAAGCGAGAAGTTATCTGCTTACAGTGGTCACACCTTAGATACCTTGGGCAGCTGTCAGCTGACATGTCAGCATAAAGGTAAGTCAGTGAAACTTTACTTCCATGTAGTCAAAACTCAATCAACACCAATACTTGGTATGAGACCATGTCTCGATTTGGGCCTCATAAAGCTGGTATACACATGCAGTGTTGACAGTCCTGTGTCAAAGGTAAGTGACTCGCAACCCCTTAACAAAGACACAGTTCTATCTGAATACAAGGATGTTTTTGAAGGTATAGGCCTACTTAAGGGTGAATGTCACATCAAAACAGACCCCAGTGTTCCCCCTGTAGTACACCCCCCACGTAGAGTCCCTTTATCCTTGAGAGAAGGGTTAAAAGAGGAACTAGCTAGAATGGAAAGCCTAGAAATAATCACTAAGGTCATAGACCCAACAGAGTGGGTTAGCTCCCTTGTTGTAGTAAAAAAACCTGAGTCTGGGAAGCTCAGAGTTTGTATAGACCCCAAAGACCTAAATAAGGCAATATTAAGGCCCCACTACCCAACCAAAACCCTGGAAGATGTCCTACCTGAAATCTCGGGCGCCAAGTATTTCAGCAAATTAGATGCTAAAAGTGGGTATTGGAACATAAAATTAGATGAGGAATCGTCCCCCCTCACAACATTTAACACCCCCTTCGGCAGGTATAGGTACCTCCGCCTCCCCTTCGGGCTGAAGTCATCTCAAGATGAATTTCAACAAAAAATGGACGAATGCTACGAAGGCCTCGAGGGCGCCGTTGCCCTAGTTGACAATGTACTTGTATACGGGAAAACGCGCTCCGAGCATGATAAAAACCTACGCGAAGCACTTTTAAGGTCGCGTGAACGGGGAATCAAGCTAAATAAAGACAAACTTGAGGTTGGTCTCAAATATTTTGGCCATACACTCACCGCGGACGGGCTCAAACCCGAAGAAGACAAAGTAAGAGCAGTACAGCTCATGAAACCCCCGACTAACAAGAGCGAGTTAGAAACGTTCTTAGGGATGGTCACATATCTATCCAAGTTTGCACCAAACTTGTCTGAATTGACAAGCCCACTACGCGTACTTCTTACACAAAACATAGAATTCCACTGGGACAAACCCCAAGCTGACGCTTTCTGCCGGGTCAAAGACATAATAACTGCATGTCCAGTTCTTGCATATTTTGATCCGAACAAGGAAGTGATACTCC